TAGAACCTGCTGGTCCCTGGCTCCTGAAAGGGGAGACACAAGAGCAGAAGGGTTTGAATTAGCAGAAGGGTTTGAATTTAGAAATAATCAAATCATTTGTGGAAGACAGGGAATTGTAGATGGAAATATTTCAGAAAATATTGAGATGGCTAGTGTGTTGATGGGAAGGCTCTGGTAGAGTGAGAAAATGAAGCTAAGAAGGCACGTGTGTAGAAACAAAGATTGCTGGTTGCTGGGTCCAGGGCTGAGGGCCTGTAATGAATAAATCTTTAGAAAGCTTTAAAAATCTTTAGCAGATGGAAGATATTGGTGAGTGGTAGAGTAGGTAGCCTGTGCTAAGAGCTAGGTTCAGTCTCCAGTACTGAAAGAGTAGATAGATGGAATCACATGGCATATGATTGTTGAGGCATGATATGAATTACCTCCCACAAGCTTGTGTGTTTGCATATGTGGTTGACCCTAGCAGTTGGTGCAGGTTATGAAATCCTCTTGGGTTAGGGCCTGACTGGTGAAGCTGGGTTACTGGAGTTGGTCTTTGAGGATTACAATCCAGCACAACTTCAGTCTGGTTCTCTGGGACTTGTTCATCAAGATCTGAGAACCTGCTGCTATACACACATCCATGGAGCTGGTCCTGTCACCACACTTTCTCTGGGGTGATGTTCTCTACCCTCTAACTACAGGTCAAAGTTCATTCTGCTTCCTTACCTTGCTTCTGTCATGGAACTTTGTTGCAGTGACAAAAAAGGTAATGAACACAGTAACATTTTAAGATAAGTCCTTATTACTTAGCACAAGCCCTTGAGAACCATCCAAGATGTATCAATAGTACTGTTTCACTGGCCAGAAGCAGCATTTTGCGGTAGTGCTGTACCAGAGTTGGGTTTAGTCATTCACTTATTATAAGGCATGTTTGTTTCTGGTAATAGAAATTAATCTACTGTGAATATTTTTCTCTAGATGCTGTGTGACCACAAACATCAAAGTGTGGTTTTGAGCCATTACCTGGGATTCTCCATGACTCATTTTGACATATTTATTTCAAGTTATTCAGTTGCTTATATAACTTGTTTATTAACATATCTTTTAAATAGTAGAAGCATCTAAACAATATTTTCCTTAGTTTAGTTTACCTCTGAAACAGGTCTTGTAAGGTCCAGACTATCCTTGTGCTTACTGCCCCCAAGGCTCTGGGATTATAGGCACACCTCTCTGCACCCCGTCCTAAACATTTTAGTGTCTAATATTTTTTTAATCATAGTATCAGTTTTAATTACATTTATGAGTGGGAACTGTTTTGAAGAGTGAATCTAATTTCATGTTTAAGAAACTTATTTTCCCTGGAGTTGTTTTTCATACTGTAAATTTACAGTTTATAATTGTTATAGTTACAGAATATGAAACATAAAACATGCATACTTTTTGGTAACTATTAAGGATTTCTTGGCTAAGAACTTGATTTGGTTTCTGGTTTTTGGCTAACTTGTTTATTTTTTGTGTCATTATTTACTTTGCATAGAGCAGCCAAGGTCAAGAGTAGTTCATTTAGCATGCTTGTGTATGTGTGTCTAATTACAGTTTCTGTTGCTATGATAAATACCATGACCAAAAGCAGCTTAAGGAGGACAGGGCTTTTTTTTTTTTCCTTTAGCTTACAGCTAATAGCTTTGTGTTACTAAAGGATTGGAAAAATACACCAACTCTTATTGTTTATATCTTCATCATTGTCTAGTTTAGATACTTAGGTTGTGTACATGTGTGATCTAATGGTAATACTGAAACTGTTCTGTTTTATTACATTTTACTATAATTTTCATCTTTATAAAATGTATAACTAATATAAAAATAAAGTGCAATATGAAAACCAACTATTGAAGTCCTGCGTGGAGTGTGGGGATGTGTACATGTGTATGACACATGTGTGTGCCATGACTCCCTTTGAAAGCTTCTTAAATTCCTGTGGAAACTAGCCTTGATAATTAAATTTAAAATAAATATTGATTTTTCTCTCCCACCTTTTGAAACATTTGTGGAGGAGAAGCAAAATATGAACCCAGGCAGTTAGATTTGTTTTCAAGCTCTACTGCGTTTCTTATGTTAAGTTGAAGCAAAGGCAGGGAAGAAAATTACAACTCAGATTTATAATGGAGTTGACAGGGGAGTGGACCTGGGTGCAGTATTCAAAGAGAAGACAGAGCGGCTGGTAAAAGCCCCGCTCGGCTCTCCACTGATAATGTCATCAGTGAAAAGCACATCTTTTCCTTTGATATTGCAGTGGATCCCACCCCACAGTTTGGCACTTCTGCAGGGAAAGACAAGCTTTCTGCTGTCAGAATGTTGTAGAGAAGATGGTCAGGAAGCCTCAGAATCAGTTTTAATTTGCTGTTCTCCAACAGGGAAGCTTAGCTACGAGCTACGATCTTTGTAAAGTGCATTATGGCAAACTGCAGCATGTCCTGTCAGGATATTTTTCTGTGCAGTCAGGAGCAGGGTTTGGCTGACGTTATGTCTAAATATAGGTAATGATCCCTAACCTCAGTTATCCAAGAGGAAACTATGTTTTATTTCTTTCTCATGCATGTATTATATGGCTATCGAGAGTAGAGTGTATGTTTAAACTTAAGTAGCTATACACAGAAACAAAGATTGACTTTGTGACTTTAAAGGGAAATCATATACCAAGAAGTGTTGGTTTTTCTAGAGTGTCATGCTCATGAACTCTATTTTCCCAATAAAAGAAAGGGGCAAGGGCTAGCTAGGGCTGTCACGTAGGAGCATGAAGGCCTGAGTTGGACATGATTCCAACTCATAATTCCAGCATTGGTGACAGAGACAGGCCCACTGGGGCCCACTGGCCGGCCAGCCAGCCTAATCACCAGATTAGGTCTGCCAATGAGAGACCCTGTAGCAAAGGCAAGGGTGACTGACTTCTGGCCTCCATATCCACACATGTGTTCGGGAACATGTACTACCTTGCACCCACGTACACTCACAGGAGGAAAAAGGAAGAGTTAGTGTGAGGCAGAATTCTTTTTAAAGGACCTCTTTTTGTCCAGGAGGTGGCAGCAGCTGTCCATAACCCGAGTGAGCCCAAGGTGAAGGCCAAGTTCAAAGCAGCCCAAGATGCTGTTTAACTGAGAATTTTTACAAGTGCATGCTTGCTTTTGCCAGATTTCTTCTGTGACTCTGTTGTTTTTCTTTTTGGTGAAGTCCATCTATGAATCACCTTTCTGTTAGCACTGGGCCTTTCTGTTCAACAGTGGCTTGTTTATGCTGAAGTCAGTAGACAGGCATCTAAAGAGATCATTCACTTGGAGGAAGCACATTAACCTTGCGTTTTGGAGGAGGGACTGACTCACTTTCTGTGGTGCGTGATTAGTGTTTCTCTGTTTGTTTAGGGTTTGAGTTTTGGTTTGGTGAGCCACTGAGTTTATTTAGGATTGCTTATAGAAGCACAGACAACTTAGAGGTTTTGGAGGACTCAATAGAAGCATCCCCAGGAAAATGAGGGTTCCACCAGGGTTTTTTAAAACAGAGTTACTTTAAGAGTTTAAATTATTTCACTTGTCCATTAAATCCATTTTTAAAGATTAAAAATGAGATTATACCAGACTTCTTTTTGTGAGAGGAGACAAACTTTTCTGGATACACTTAAAGCATTTTAAAAATTGTGTTATTTCATATTCCACCAAATTTTTAAATGAATTGTTAGATGATTTTGATGCCAGTGTATTGAATATATTTCATTCTAACAAGCTTCCTTCTCCAAATGTTTCAGACTCTGAGACAGTTCTGCTTTGTGTGCCTCATCAGAGTTTGACAGCATCTTCATTCCTCTTCCTTTCTTTGCTATTGACTGCTTCTGGGCAGTGATGGCGTCCTTAGTGTGAGCATGTTTCTATGTTAGTATCTGTCTAGAAAACCCAGAAGTAAGTTTTAGCTAACATTCTACACCTACCCTTCTTTTTATGTTTTTGAGACAGGGTCTCACTATATAGCTCTGGCTAGTCTGGAACTTACTATGTAGATCAGGCTAATCCAGATAGCCTACCTGCAGATAAGTCTGCTTCTGCAGTGACTAAAGGTGTATACCACCAAGTCTGATGCTCCACTAGCATCCTTTATCACCTTGCCAAAGAATATGATTAAACTATCTTGTATGAAAAAAAAACTAAATAGAAAAAAATCTTGGTTTTGTTGATAAAGTTTACATTATATTGCTGATACTTCCGCCCTTTAATTTTTCTTCAGCAGTGATTAGTTACAAAACCCACTCCTCACTTGGTTTTTTTTTAATCACAAAAAGAAAAATAAGGCTACAAGAGCAGTTTCCTAGCCCCCAGCAGTGTGATGCTTTTGTTATAATTGGGGTGAGCACCACCACACTCTGGCACATCCTTATCTATCAAGTTCACAGTTTCCAGTAGGCTTTGATTTCAATGATGCATTTCTGTGGGCTTTGGGAAGTGTTTAATGGTACCTGGCTGTCACTGTAGCAATCATACAGGACAATCGCACTATCCTGAATGTTCTCCATTCCACCCTCTGCCTCTACAGCTGGCAGCCACGGGTGTTGTTAATGTATGCTGAGATAGTGGCAGTATTGTGCTTTCTTTCATATTGGCCTCTTTTGCTCGGTAATCTGTCTTTAAGTTTGCTGTTTCTTTTCTCAGCGTGTCATATTCCATCCTCCAGCTATACCACATTTTATGTATCTGCTTACCTGCAAAAGAGTGTCTCTGGTGCTTCCAGATTCTAACATACATGAATGAAGCCATTTGCATAGTCATGCTTTTAATTCATTTGGAGAAACACTAGACATGATCAAACTGTCATCCTACTTGCTGGGCATTTTGTTTTCTCATGAAATGAAGGAGACTAGAATTCTTGCTCTTCATTCTTGCCAGACTATAGTACTGTCAGTGCTTCACCTAATGGCCATTTTAGTGGGTGTGTAGTGCTGTCTTATTGTTGTTTAAATTTATAGTTTTCCAAAGCCTGAGGTGTGCTCAAGCACATTCCCTGGAGAATGTCTTCTCTGTTCACAGCACACCCAAGAGGAATCTGGGCCATCATAAGGAGAGCACAGCACTGGGTCCTCTCTGTGACTTGATGCCCTACATGTGAAAGAAGAAAAAACCCACTTCTGTTACCATGTTTTTATTTGCCTATTATCTTTGTGTATACTACTGTCTTTGAGCCATTTTTTTTCAGTTTTATTGTTTGCTTATTATTATCGAGTTGTGACAGTTCTTGGCAGATTTTTATTAACACTTCTTTATCTGAGTATTTTTCATGCAATTTTTCTCCCATTGTGGGGCTTGTCTTTCCATTTTCTTGACTGTTTCTTTGGCAGAAAGAAAAATTTAACTTTAACAAAGTTTAGAATATTCTTTTTTCATGAGCTATCATTTGTGTTCTATCAAAAGTCATTTGGATTTCTCCCATGATTTCTGTAGAAGTTTCATATGTTTTAGGTCTGTAATTCATTTTTAGTTAACTTTTCTTAAGATATCAGGTCTGTGGTCTTATCGTAGCATATTATACTGTGTTCAGTTGCTGTCCTTGGAAGGCTTGCTCTTTTCTGAGGGGAGATAGAGGGGCCATGGGTCTGGGAGAGAGGAGAGATGCAAGGGAAGACGGAGAGTAAGTAGGGGAGGGAACGGAAACTGTGGTCATGTTGTAATATATAAGAAAGTAATACTTTTTTAAAAAGATATCAGGTCTATGTCTACAACCACCGTTTCACATGAATGTCCAATTGTTGCCATTTTTATTAAGATATTTTTTAAATTGCATATCATTCATTTAAAACTAGTCAGCTATACTTATGTAGGTTTTCTTTTTCTTTTTCTTTTTTTTTTTTTTTGAGACAAGATCTTTCTTCTTAGCCCTGGCTGTTCTGGCACTTGATATGTAGACCAGGTTCGTTTCGAACTCACAGAGGTTTGACTGCTGGTAATAAAAGTGTACACCACCATACCTGACCTAAGTTTATTTCTAACTTCTCTGTTCTGGTCCTTTGATGTAATCTTACACTGATATTGCTCCATCTTCGTTGCAATGTAGCTTAAGATTTTAGAAAGTATTTGTTTCCATTGCGTGTGTGCTGCAGCATATATGTGGAGACCAGAGGACAGCTTGTGAATGTCAGTTTTCTCCTTCCCTTTTTGTGTGTGTTTGAGAGGCTGACTTCACATCACCAGGTTTGTACATCAAACTCCTTTGCCCATCGAGACATGTTGCCTACCGTGTAATGTCTTCAAGTGAGGTAGTGTCAGTCCTCTGACTTTGTTTTCTTGAACACAGATGCTTCTGTTGTTTGTTTGGTTTGCCTAGCCACACAAACTTTACAGTTGAAAAATGTCTACAAAATATCTTTCTGAGACAGGGTTTGGGATGATATTGATTCTCTAATCTGGGATAAACTGATAGCTGGGTGGTACAGCGGATTTTATGTTCACAGAAATGAAGTATCTCTTGCTTGATTTAGTCCTTTGCTTTCTTTCGTCAGAGTTGTGTGCTTTCCTCACATGGATATTATGCACATTTTTAGATTCATTTCCAAAGTTTTTAGAGGGCTCTGAGTAAATGATGATATATTAAATTGAATTTTAACAGCTTCATTGCTGGTATAGAGGGACGTGATTGACACTTGTGTGTAAATCTTGTTTTCAATAATCAATTCTTTTTTGATGTTCTACATAGATGATTATGTCATCTACCTATCTCCATCCATCCATTTATCTATCTACCTACCTACCTCTGTCTGTCTGTCTGTCTGTCTGTCTGTCTCTCTCTCTCTCTCTCTCTCTCTCTCTCTCTCCCTATCTATATCTATCTACCTACCTACCTATCTACTTCTATTTACCTATCTATCTGTCTGTCTGTCTACCTACCCACCTATCTATTGTCATCTAATTTCTTTTTCTCTTCTTACTGAGTTTGCTAGGACTTCTAGTCTGATGTTGAGTGTTTTGAGACTATGTCTTAACATTATTCCTGGTCATTGGGGATCATATTGGTCATATGTTTTTGGAGATGGTTTTTATTAAGTCAAGGTATTTTCTTTATATTCCTAGTTGTAGTAAAGCTCATTATGAGTGTTGGATTTTATAAAATGTTTTCCTGTGCCTATTACTGTGATCATGTGATTTTTTGTCTTTAGCCTCCTGACATTGTAAGTTACATTTATTTATTTTTTAATCAGCCTTTATGTTGAACCTACCTGTACACCTTTGATAAATTCCACTTGGAAATGATGTCTAATTTATAATAGAATACCACATTTTGGATAATTTATAGTGAATAGAAATTGATTAGGTCTTGGTTCTGGAGGCTGGGAGGTCCATTAATCTAGCAAGAGCCTTCTTTTGCCTCATAACATGGGGTAGGAGTGAAGGGGAGAGACAAAGAGAAACAGAGAAGAAGTGACTCGCAAGTGGAACCCCAGATCACCATTTTATAGGAAACCCATGGTTGTATGAACAATGTCTGTTCTGTGATAATGGCCCTGTGCCACTCCTTAGTGCTAAGCCCACATGAGCTAAACACCTTTTGAAGGTCTCACTTCCCAACACTGCTTTTATACAATTGAAATATACTAGGAAAGTGAGTACTCAGAAGATGTATCTGTAATCAAGAGAACCCTACCCTGAGAAGACAGCAGTGTTAGCAGGCAAGAATACAAACATGCTATTGTGAATATACTCAAAGACTTAAAGGCAAAGTCCATAGTGAATACACAGATGATCACTACATGAGAGGTTTCTGATGATAAAAGAAATCAAATTAGGCTTCAGAAATAAAGAGTGTAAAATAAGATGTTTTCTGAACATGGATTAGATGAAGAATAAGAAACAATGATGCACTGAAGGTAAGCTAGTAGGAACAACTGTTCAACCTGAGGAACAGTAAAATCAAAATCCCAAAATGGTCAAAATGGCAGAGACGTATAGGATAAACCATGTGTAACATATGTGGGATCTGAGTCCTAACTGAGGAGACTAGGATGGAGAAAGGTAAACAGTGCAATGACTGAGCAAGGCCAGACATAGTGCAATTACCTCCTTTGTGTTCATAAACAAAAGCCCAACAGAGCTTTATCAAGGTAAAATGCAAAGAAAACCACACATAGATGTATAATAATCAACTCTAAAATCTAAATCTGAAGAGAAAATCTTGAAAAACCGCAATAGGAATAAGATCTTATTTCTCATCAAAATGATAAATGTCAGAGGTAAGGAAAGAGCTACTAAATAAAACTTGAACATCATACCCCACATCATATAGCCATCTAGAGTGGGTACATTGCATAGCCGTCTAGAGTGACATCCAAATGAGCTGAAAAAAGGAGCTCTGATATAAATGGAGGCAGGGACTTTTTTGTTAGCACACCTACACTGAGGCCCTAAAGGAAGTTCCTGAGGCCAGGTGATGACAGGTGGGAGCCTGGAGTTAGGGGAGGAATGCAGGCCACTCAAGTGGTAGGTATGTGAGAGGTACAGAAAAATCTCTTCTTCCTCATTTAAAAAAAGCATGTATTTTTAATTATGCCTAATTATATGCCTTGTATTCACAAAAGCAATTAATATATATTCCTATAAAAAAACCCTTAGAGCCAGATAATTTCAGTGATTTCTATGAAATATTTAAAGAATAATTTCTTAAACTAAACTTAAATATTTTTAGAAGGGTGAGGACAATCCATTGCTTTCCAAAAACCTGAGAAAGACAAGATTACAAATCAGTTTCCTTTATGCATATGGAGGTGATAGATTTTGCCCCTACTTCCCTCAGTGATTGACTAGTACCTATACGCCGAAATAAAGTCTACCCTATCAGGTCACTTTTGGCTGTGATGTTTATCACAGCACTATAAAACAAAGTAGGACATAATGAAAACTTAAATTTTTGTTTAGCTTGAGACAGGGTCTCACCATATAGGTTTTGTTGGCCTGGAGTTTATTATGCAGAACAGACTGGCATAGAACTCAAAGAGATTTACCAGCCTCTCTGCCTCCTGAGTACTGGAAGTAAAGGTGTGCACTACCATACTTGGCAAATGGGAACTTCTTAATTTTGTAAAACTCACATCATAGTGTGGATAGCCAGGTGTGGTAGGCACACCTGTAATCCCGGTTCTGAGGAGGCCAAGGCAGTAAGGAAAGTTCAAGAGCTACATCCTCCTAAAACCAGCAGTGGGGCGAGGCCGTTCTGTCATCATTTATGCTCTCATTATTACACTGAAGATCTTGATGGGGAAAGGACATAAAAATGGTGTGGGAAGCACTAAAACTGCTTTTATTTATAGATAGTATTTATGTAGATTATTCACAAAGCTGGACCCAATATAAGATCCCATCTGTGTGTAGAACTCAAACGTATTTTACTTCATTACAATTGAGCAATGAAGTGATTATTGCATCTCCAACAGACCACAGCCATAAGCATTAGTGATAAATGTTGTAGAAGACGTGCAAGTCCTTCACACTGTGCACTGCAAGGTGTTGCTGAGGAAAATGGAAGGCAGCCTCATAAGCAGAGAGGAAGTGACTGTGGGAAGCTCAGGATGAACAAGATGCCAGTTCTCCCCAGTTGGCCTAGACAGCTAACAGCTACAGCCGTCCAAACAAAAGTCCCAACAGGCTTTATTTTTTTCTAACATTTTCAAGATGATTATAAAATTTATATTAAATAAACTGAATACATAGCAGAAGAAAATGCCTAGATTTGTAAAAAACAAAACAAACAAACTACCTACCAAGCAAGAGGACTCCTAGTGATGGAAAATAAGCTGTGCCATGGAGTCTCAAAGTCAAGGGAACGTAATGTTGGTGTAAGGAGAGAAAACGCTCTTTTGTGGCAAGATGAAAGGCCTAGGGAAGCCACTGAACTGGCTTGTGGAAAGAAAGGCTCTGAGACCATCTAATGAACAGAAGAAGACCTTCCACAATCGCTTGTGAGATGCACTTTTGTTATTGTTGTTGTTTTTTGGTTTTTGAGACAGGGTTTCTCTGTATCTTTGGAGCCTGTCCTGGAACTTGCTCTGTAGCCGAGTCTGGCCTCGAACTCACAGAGATCTGCCTGCCTCCCAAGTGCTGAGATTAAAGACATGTGCTACCA